GTCAGATGCTCTGGAATGTTGATCACAAATGAAGGGTCATCGGGCTCATCGCCCGCGGCTGCTGTCACAGACCAAGGTCCAAACCACTTGGGAAGTAGTTTGCGTGAAACATCCTGTTCCAGTGCAAACTCTTCCGCGGAGACCCAAACCAGATCACCGGCGCGGATGGGACATGGTACGCGACGCCTGTTGGCTTGCTGCTGCATGCGGACTTGAGCCTTTTGCATATTTGCGCGGCCTTGAGTCAGCAATTCCCTGTACTTTCGGACGGAAGCGGGAGAGCAGGCAGCGTCAATGTCGGTTGGTCGAGGGAGGAGAAGGTCTGCGAAGATCCGGCCTTTCCGTCCACCGTGGTGCAACTCGAATGGAGTCACGCCGATCGCCGGATGCACCGAAGTGTTGTAGGCGAACTCGATGTCAGGGAGGCGGTCAACCCAATCTTTCTGGTCCGGACGGATGAGCGTACGAAGCATCATTTGAGCGGTTTGATGTGCCCGYTCCGTCTGCCCRTCTGTCTGAGGATGTCGAGCCGAASTTGGTTTCATTGTTGTGCCGGACTCCTGCATGAGAGCAGTCCAAAACGCCGACATGAAACGAGTGTCGCGGTCGYTGACAATGYCTTCTGGTACACTGTAACCACAAATCCAACGAGTGTGCAGGAGGCGTGCCAGCTCGGGAGCCGTGGAGTAGTACTTGCAAGGGAGAAAACGCGCGTACTTACTCAATCGGTCCACAACCGTGAGGATGTCGTCGTGCCCGAGCTGGTCGCGAGGAAACGGACCGGTGACGTCCATGGCAATGGAGAGACCGGGTTCCTATGGGATAGGCATCGGGTGTAACTCGCCGTAGGGATTGCGGTTGCGGGGCTTACTGCGTCGGCAAACTTCGCAAAAGTCGCAATAGCGAGTGACATCGGTAATGAGGTCGGGCCATCGGAATCGCTGTCGAAGCCGTGCAATAGTGCGGTTGACTCCGAAATGGCCGGCGAGTCGTGAATCATGATACTCGCCGAGGAGGCGAGTCCGAAGACGACGGCCGCGTGGGACACATAGTAAGTCCTTGCCTCTCGAGTGGAGGAGCAAGTACCCRTCGGCAATGCGGTAATGGCTGGCCGGCGGGTGATCCGAAGATAGTTGTGCATAGAGTGTGCCGAAGTCCGGATCAGACTGATATGCCCGGATGAAGTGTCGCTGAAGCTCCTCGTCGAATGCGAAGGCATGATGTGTCATAGCGCAAAGATCAGGTCTTCGCGAGAGTGCATCTGCTGCGCGATTGGAGAGGTCGGGGACATGTTTCGGTGTGAAGTCAAATTGGTCGATGAAGTACATCCATCGTCCGATCGTGCTGCTCACCGTGTCCTGCATCTTATAGTAGGTCAATGGATTGTTGTCTGTGACCCATGTGAACCTACGACGCCCAAGGAGGAAGTGCCGCCAGCGCTTGAGAGCCATCACGAATGCGAGCAACTCCTTCTTCCTTGCATCATCAAGCGAGTTGATGGGAGGCAGTTTGTGGCTGAAATACTCCACAGGGTGCCAGTCGTCGCCGTCGTGCTGTTCCAAGACTGCCCCAATGCCATAGCCGGAAGCGTCCGTAGTCACTCGCGTCGGCAGGGTGGGGTCATAGATGCTAAGGACGGGTGCCATGAGCATAGCCGTCTTAAGTGCTTGGAATGACCGGCGTGCGTCGTCATGGAATACGAATGGCACCTTTAGCGACTGTAACCTCTTCATAGGTGCAGCAATCCTGGAGTATCCGGTGATGAATCGCTGATAGTAGCCCGCCAATCCCATGAATGAACGAATGTGCGTGGTGTTGGTGGGCTCGGGCCATACTCGTAGGGCCTCGATCTTGTCCGCAAGCGGACGGATGCCTTGCGGCGTCACATAGTGTCCCACGTACTCCAGCTCCTGCTGTGCGAACTCGCACTTGTCGCGGTTTGCTTTGTATTTGGCTTGTCGTAGCCGCTCCGAAACGGTGCGCAGGTGTTCCACATGCTCGTCCAAACTCCGACTATACATCAAGATGTCGTCGAGGTAGATGAGTACAAACCGATCCAGCATGTGTCGGAACTCCGTTGTCATAGCCGCTTGGAAAGTGGAAGGGGCATTCGTAAGGCCAAACAGCATGACCAGCCATTCGAAATGCCCATACCGTGTCTTAAACGCGGTCTTGTAGCGATCCTCCTTGCGAATCTCGAGTTGGTGGTACCCTGACTTGAGATCCAGTTTAGAGAAGAATTGGGCGCCGCCCAATCGCTCGAGAAGGTCATCGATGCTTGGGAGAGGGTCGACGTTCCTGATCGTCTGCGCGTTGAGCTTGCGGTAATCGATGCACAACCGCAGGTCCTTGTTCTTCTTCCGGACGAAGAGAACAGGAGCACCGTATGGCGATGAGCTAGGCCAAATCCAGCCTTTCTTTAGAAGGTCGTCGAGTTGTGCGCGGAGCACACTTAACTCTTCCTCGCTCATTCGGTAGATGCAACTGCGCGGAGGTACGGCCCCGTCCTCGAGGATGATCTCGTGGCGGATGGGTCGATCCGGTACTACTCCGTGCGGGCCTTCGAACACGTCGCTGTAGGCGTCGAGAAGTTCGGTGATGCGTGGATCCGAAGGTGAGTCCGTTGATGAAGCGTTATGGGGCGGGAGGGCGTGGAGAAAACACACCCCCATTTCCTCGATGTCGTCTCTGATGATGGAAGCTCGCATGCTTGCGGCGGATTCCACGTGGTAACTGATCGAAGGATGAGGAAGAGGCACCGTGCATGGAACTAATACTCCGTTCCGGTCACGAACGTGAACGGTGCGGTTGAAGAAGTTCACCGGGTGATCCTTGCTTTGCAGCCATGACATGCCCAAGATCATGTCGAATTTGGTGTCCAGAATGTCAAAGGACACCGCCTCACTTGCGTGAGGGGCAAAGTACATTGAGACGCTGTCAATGCACCGGTCGATTGACTTGCGTGTGTGACCGTCCGCCAATGTGACTTGCCTAGGCTGGGGCTTTCTTCGGACGCGTGGGCCAAGGCCGGCTCGCACCATGAAGTCCTGGCTGATGTAGTTGCGAGATGTGCCGCAATCGATCAAGGCACTGCAGGTCGCCTCTCCGATCTGAATGCGTACGTATAGCAATGGTGCGTCGATGTCGTCGTACCTTTGCGTCTCTACTCCGGCGTCCATCAACGGAGTCGGTACTGCAGTGTGCAAGTAATCTCGCAGTTGTGCCATGAGCACATTGCAATGCGGTTTCGGCAATCGTCCGGTCGGGGGAACGGGCATCCACTGGAAGTTCGTGAACGTCAATGGGTCGAGCACCTCAAGTCTTGACCACGATGATGAATCCCCGGCGATAGATGGCGGCGAAGCTGTCGAATCAGTTGCCGATGGTGTTGAAACCGTGCATGCGGTAGATTGTTGCACGTGGAGCGGTTGGTCCAACGGTGGGACCAAGTGGACAGCGTAATCCTCTTAAGATTACCGAGGACTTGCGACATGCGCCTCCTCCCCAGATGTGTACGGAGGCCGCTAGCAAGGCGGCCGAATCTGGCGGAGTAGAAGGTGGAGTCGCCTCACCTTCCGCGGAGCTCAGTTTCCCGAGCTGAGGCGGGGTCGCACATCCTCCTTGCCCTGATCCTGGCACAGGGAGGTCTTGTGCTTGGTGTTGTTGCACCAATAGCAGCTGCCGTAGCGGCCGCGGACCTTGTACTCCGCCTCGGTCAAGCCAAACTTGACCCATGGAACTTGTACTGGCTGTCCATTTCCTGCCTGTGATGCGGATTTCGCCTTCCCGTTGTTGCGGGACTTGTTGTTGCTTCGCGGCTGGACAGCAGTCACCTGATCTCCGTCACTTGATGCTGGAGTGGTTGCTGGGTTATCTCCACTGTCCTGCTGGACTGCAGTGAAGTGCTGGTCGGCTGCCATAGTGACTTCTCGTGTGCAGCTGACCTGTTGGTGTTGATGATCTCCTTTGCTTTGTCAATAATCTCGGCAAAGGTTGAGTACTGCTCGCGATCACCAAGAGTCTGGCTCAATGCAGCACAGGTCCTGTTGTAGAACTCACGGCGTAGATGCGTGAATGCCAATTCCAGATTGGGCACCGCCGCAATCTTCTGCCACTCCGTGAGCCAATCCCGTGTTGCAGTGTTGCCTTGTGACATTGTGAACAGACGGTTGATGGCAGGTGTCGGCGCGTCGTCGACGATGAACCGCTTCTTACACAGCCGTGTCAGTTCCTCCCATGTGATTTTATCCTTCAAGTCCAGTACGTCGACACCATGAGAGGTTGCCAAGTGGCTCAACCAGGTCTGGCATCCGCCCTTTGAGTTCAGGAACAGGGCGCCGATGTACGCGTGCTTGGCGACAGACAGAATCCTGAGTTGCGTTGTGAATGCCTCCCACCAGAGGACCGGATCCTGCTGTGTGTAGTCGTCGAACTTGTCCAGTTGGAAAGTCGGCATCTTGTACATCTTCGGATTATCATCCGCGTTCGTCGACTACAGCTGCTGAAACTCGGTCTTCAAGGTATGCAGCTGACTGCTGAGCATTGTCGAGGTGCTGATATCGCCGAGCATTGCCACTACGTGGTCGGCGCAGCGAAGGTGCTGATGTCGCCGAGCATTGCCACTATGTGGTCAACGCGTTCCTCCAGTTGGCGGCTAGAGGATGCACTGCTGGAAGCTCCAGCATCTTGTCTTGGTGGAACTTGTTCCAAGTCATGTACACGAGCGTCCAGTGCCCATGTGGCATCCTCGTGTTGAGTCTTTTGGTTCCGCACGGCCCGCTGGAGGTTTGCCAGCTCGGACTGTAGGTGGTTACATGTGTAAACCAACCTGCTCACGAGCTTGGCCATGAGCTCCTTATGCTGCTCTTCCGGTGTTGGCTCGTCGCCGTTTGGTTCAAAGTGCCAGTACTTGAGTTTCTCGATGCTGTTGGCTTCATACCGCTGCAGCAGAGCCTGGGCTTCCTTGCGGCGAGCCTGGGCGTCTGCGTCTGCTTCTGCCTGTAGCCGCAGCTTCTCTGCTGTTGCCGCTTCATCAGCCTGTAGCTGGGCAGCCTTGACTGCCAGCTGGCGTTGTTCCTCATCCTCGATTGCAGCGAGCTGAGCATGGACGCGCTTTTTGTAGTCGGCAATGGGCTCATTGGCCAGTTGGTCTGGCAAGCCCGTCATGTTGCTGACGTGGCACTGTTGACGTGGCACTTTGTCTGACGTGGCACTGTGTCTGACGTGGCACTGCTTACGTGGCACTGTGTCTGACATGGCACTGCTGATGTGGCATTGCTTACGTGGCACTATGTCTGACTTGGCACTGCTAATGTGGCACTGCTTACGTGGCACTTTGTCTGACGTCACTGCTGATGTGGCACTGAGTCTGACGTGGCACTGTGACCTGGCACTGCTGACGTGGCACTGCTGATCTGGCACTGTGATGTGGCACTGCTGACGTGGCACTGTGACCTGGCACTGTGTCGTGGCACTGCTGACGTGGCACTGCTGATCTGGCACTGCTGATCTGGCACTGTGACGTGGCGCTGCTGACGTGGCACTGTACCGAACTGGGATGCATGCAAGGGGTGGGTGGGAGGGAAAACGTA